CTAGGGGATGGCTCCTCCTATATTACTTCTCAGGTTTCTAAATTTCTTTTAAGAGCTGTAACTACCAGAGGAGAACGTTGTAATTCCCTTTAGCCAAGGCTTCTGGTGTTTAATTGTTTGTGATATATTTTTCTTGTGTTTTCTTTTGTTGCACTTGCATTTTGGTCTGTGACCGCAAAATAAAAATTATTATTATTATGGTTATGGGGAAAGAAATTTTTTAAACAAAAATCCATGACGCCTGAAAATTTGGGGATGGCATAAACTCAAGAAATGTTCAGGTTCTCCAGAATGTTGATACAGGAATTGTTCAGCTGGGAGAAAACACATACAGGAGGGAGTGAGGAGACAGGAGCTTTAAGAACACTTCGCAGTTCACATCTCTCCTCTTTTTGTTGTTAAATATAAAAAGGAATTTTAATTATTTGATAGCCTCTGTTCTTGAGTGAACTACTAAGATCAATGTGACCAGTTCTCACCACATGCTAAACCACCATGTGATTTGCCTGGCTTTGACTCAGTCTGTATGAATTTGGTAATTTTTAAAGCCAGAGTATATGGCTTAGTGTGCTGTACACTCAGAAATGTGGATTACTATAGCATATGGTTAAGTAAATCACAGCTTAGTGGGCCACGCAAACTCATCTCAATATATGCTTGTGTTGAGAATTAACTATACTGCACAAAGCTTCAGTTTGTGGGCCCTGGAGTTTTGGTATTAAAAAACTGAAATCTGCTGAAGGAAGTCAACGTAAAGTCCCTGTAAACTCTAAATCAGGGGTCCTCAACCTTGGCAACTTTAAGACTTGTGGACTTCAACTCCCAGAATTCTGGAAGTTGAAGTCCACAAATCTTAAAGTTGCCAAGGTGGAGACCCCTGCTCTAAATAACTTTAAATGACATTTACACTGTAAATGAGAGCCTGCTTGATGTAGTGGTTAAGGTGCTGGCCTAGAAACCAGGAGTCTGTGAGTTCTAGTCCCACCTTAGGCATTAAAGCTGGCTGGGTGACTTTGGGACAGTCACCAGGAGACTGTGAGTTGTAGTCCTGTTTCAGGCATGAAATCTGACTGGGTGAATTTGTGCAGTCACTTTCTCTCAGCCCAACCCATCTCAAAAGATGGTTGTGGGGAAAATAGGAGGAGGAAGGATCATTATGCATGTTTGCCGCCTTGAGTTACTTATAAAGTAATAAAGCGGGCATAAAAATGTCTAATAAGTAAGCTCACCCATCCTCCTTGGGCTTGGATCCAGGACAGGACATGTTCCTGGATATATTCCATAGTCCAGCTGATGACAGTCCTTAGGAGCTCTGGTAATTTACTGCACACTACCTATTGAAAAATGACAAAACAGCCAAGTAAGTCCATGAAAAAGGAAGCCAAAAATGGACAGCAACTGAGGAAGGTGTCTCAAAAACGGGATGACTAGAAATGACATACTTACCTTTAGGATCAACTTGCATGCAAAATAAAACAATGCCACCACACGGCCCCAGTTGAAAGCACCGTCCGAGAACATCTCAGCCGCCACTCGAAAGAAAACTTCCTTGGGGGGATACATCTGAACTTGTTCTATCATCCTGTAGGGTGCAGCAAAAAAACAGCCTAAGTTAGATAGTCCCAGTCTAATATTGAGAGAAGCTCAGGGAGCCTAATACAATGCAGTTTTTTTAAAATGATCCAAGTAGAATTAAATTTTGGCCTCTGTAAAACTAAGCTCTTTGAAGTCATTTGTAGGAAATTCACCAGACCTGGAAGCAGAAAGTGAGAGGGTTGTCAAGTTGAACAGAAATAGGAAGCTATAGGAGGATTTCTGGTGACATTGTTGGTTGTAGAGCCTGGGAAAGGGCTCTCCCTTCCCAGGGTCCGAATTTCTGTTGCTGGCGAGCCCAAAAGGGCTGAATGTCACCCTGGAGGGGTGACCACCGAAAGGTGAATGTTTGAGGGAAGGAAGCCGGCAGTAGCCGGCTTTCCAAACTCAAATTAGCCTCTGGAACCGGCAAGGGAAAGGCGAAGAGCTTTGCGTTTGCCGCCATTATCAGCAGATCATTGGAGACAGAACACAGCTGTTGAAGGAAAGAAGTAACCGGTCGGGGTGAGACGATATTAATCCTTGCTGCAAATGGACCCTTTAAAATTGCCTGCCTGCCTTTAAAGCAAAGAAAACCTAAAGGGAGGAGGAGGAGGGATTTTTGCTTCCCCCCTCCCAAAAAGCGGTGGTTTAAGCCTCATTTTAAAACCTTTGGAATTTTTTTTTCCTGTTCTACTAAAGATAAATTGAAGAAATTAGACTGTTAATATAGAGGGAAAAGAGGACTTATTAACATCTTAATTGGGAAAAGCCACCTTAATTCTTTTACTTTTAAAACTTTAATTTTGTGTATTTACTTCGGAACTTTTTCCTTTTTTTCCCTCCCTATTCAAACGACCGGGGAAAAGACAGCGGCCTCTGGTGGTTATTTTGTAACCTCTCTTGTTAGCCTTTCCCTTTTTGCTGTGTTGATTTAGCTGCAGAGTTTGGCTCAATGCCCAGGCACTTGGCTGTATGCCCAGATATTCTTATCTTTTTTAGAGGCCACAAAAAGGAGATTGTTTCTGTTAAGTCCGGAGAATAATGGCGCTTGAAGCAATGCATTTCCAACATGTCTTTATTCTCTGACTACAGTCAATGAACAACCCGAGCAGAGGCACGCAGGCCTCTATTTATACCCTCTGATCCCCGGGCAATTCCAACCAATCACAAGGCGGTCTTTTCCCGCCTTGCGCATGCGCGCAAGGCTGGCGCCGCTCAGTCTGGTCCCGGGCAGCTTTTGCAAATGCCCGGGACTCTTGCAACGTCCCGAGCCTGCTTCCGCAAGCTCAGGACACAACATCCCTCCCCCCTAGATAAAATAATACTGCGCCCAACATGGACGCCACCATGGTAAAGTGTGTGTTACTAACTGTTGCATTAATTTCACAGTGTGTGTGAGATATGGGGCCGTTCTGTCGTTCAGAGAACCAATGTGCCCCAAATCCCGTTTCCACAGAGTTAACCAGTCTGAACCTCTAGTTCAAGCTGCTATATACTTGCTCACCTTACGTAATCTGCAAGGTATTTGGGAGGGCCTTTGACCCGTAGCGACCTTCTCGGACCTGGGGAACTTGTAGTGTTTTCCCGGTTGCTTTCCACGCTAGGTGAATTACCCTGTGGCTGTCTCGTGACTTCTGCCTGCCTTTCCTGCCCGTCTCCTAGGCTCGTGAAGTCAGGACTCTGCTGTTCACTATACCTGGTTGACCTACCACCTATGGAGTTCTCCAAACCCTCTAAACTCATCTCAATGTTCCCCGAAGGTGTGTAATTTTCCTGGCTCCTTTCTGTAGTGATAGGGTCCAAGGATACCTCCCTGTTAGCCCGAATACGTGGGGACATCCTTCTGTGAGCCATTGCTGAAAAGGACATGTTCCCACCTTGTGCCTGCTCTCTTGTATGTTGTGAGTTGTGAGTATGCTCCCAATCAGTCTCCGTGTCTGGAGTATTGTTGGTGAGGTGTGGATAGTTAGTATACCTCCGGTGTGACTCCCAGGCTGGAGTGCGTGTGGGGGTGTCTGTTTGCCCCCTGTCCCATGAATTCCTACTTGTAGCACTTGCGGAATGTGGGTGTTGTGTA